TCCCCCATCGGCGGGGTCTGGCATCCCTACGTGGAGTAGAGGACCAACATGGATCAAGAAAGGTTCACTGTGTGCTGGTGTGAAGAAGAAGAGGGAGGAGGAGGAGATTGGACTCATACCCCACCCGTCACTTGAAGTCTCAGAGTGGCTTACAATTCCTTTCCCTTCCTCGACCTACAACAGACACCCTGTGAGGTAGGTGGGACTGAGAGAGCTCTGAGAGAACTGCTCTTGAGAGAACCATGACTGACCCAAGATCATCCAGCTGGCTGCATGTGGAGGAATGGGGAATCAAACCCGGTTCTTCAGATTAGAGTCTGCCACTCTTAACCACTATACCAAACTGGCTCATAGATGGCATTGGCCTCTGTTTGGCACCTAGGTAATACACAACAGCACTAATTATTAGCCTAATGATTAACCTAGAGCTAGGTCTCGAGGCAGCAAATGTTACGCCTCTCTCATATTCCTGGATGATTCGTGTGGTTTAAAACTGTGACCTGTGTCAGTTCTGAGCAGCTGAGAACCATTTGCTTGGGATAATTGCCACCCAAACTATTCCAAGTTCAGCCAGGGTTCTTGACAAACTCATTGAATTTTATTTTATGCTTTGCTGGCAACAAATGCCACAAAATTCTGAACTAGGCCCAGACATCTCTCCCAAAGGGCTTGCAACTATCATTCTGTCATTGCTTCTCTTTTTTCCTCCTCTTTCTCTTGCCTTGTTGCTTTTGGAGACAGAGATGGAAGGTTCTTAAATCATGAGAAGATAAAAAGAATCCTGCTGGATCAGACCAGTGTTTCATCTAGTCCAGTACTGTGAATTATGCAATGGCCAACCAGTTGCCCTGGAGGGTCAGCAAACAGGGCATAGAAGCCTAGACCTTCCCTTGACATTGCCTCCTGGGACTGGCATTTAGGGGTTGGTGGCTTCTAAATGTGGAGATACCATTAAGAAGAGAAGGGAGAAAAGAAGAGATTGGATTTATACCCTGCCCTTCACTACCCAAAGGTGTCTCAGAGCAGTTTACAAACTCCTTTCCCTTCCCCTCTCCACAATAGACACCCTGTGAGGTAGGCGGGGCTGAAAGAGCTCTTGACAGAAACTGCTCTTTTTCAAGAACAGCTCTTATCAGAACTACGGCTTGCCCAAGGTCATCCAGCCAGGTGCAAGTGGAGGAGTGGGGAATCAAACCCGGTTCTCCCAGATTAGAGTCTGCGCACTTAACCACTACACCAACCTGGTTAAGTCATCACACCTCATAGCCACTGATGGATTTATCCTCCATGAATCTGTCTAATCCTCCTTTAAAGACATTCATGCTGTGGCTGTCACTATGTCCACTGGCAGTGAATTCCACAGGTGAATTAATTGTTGAGTAGAAGAAGTTTTGAAGAGAAAGGGAACATGCTGAGAGAGCAGAAGTGATTAGACACTTGATTCCTGGAAGTCATGTCCATCTAAATATGGAAGACATCAATGGCTATTAGATGTGCTGGATAAACGAAACCTCCATGTTCAGCATCAGTATACCTCTGAATTCCAATTATGACAAGGAACAGGCAGGACTTCTGTAATACCTGGTTGGCCACTGTGGGAAATATGATCCTGGGCTAGTCCTACCGTCGGTCTGATCCAGCCAGGCTGTTTTTAGGAGACACTCCCCATTTTAGACTCCCAGGTAGCATTTAATAAAAGCACAACTGCTGTCACCTTTTCCATTTTGTCATTTAAAGTTCTTGTTTGGGTACTCTTGCATCTAAGAACTGGGGACATTAATAAAAGGCAAAGGGTTATAAAAATATAATAGTTTCAAGGCAGGGTTTTTGCAGCCTTTTCCAGCTTTGACTTTATGGAGCCAAAGAGGTTGACAGAAAAATGGTATTTCAGTCTGTATTTGTCAGAAGCGTTGAAGTCACATCCCATATGTGCGGCTTGGACTAGAAACCTGACCTACAACCATGATTGCCAAATGGCAATTAGCAAATCATGTGTTTCCAATGAATTCTGAAACAACAGATTCTATGCACATATGTCATTAAGTTTCAGGCTCACGTCTGGGTGGTCGAACAACTCCGTTTGCAAGCTTTGCAGCCTCATTTCCCAGATGATGAAAGTGTCTGTCAGAGTTTGAAGACATTGCTGTAGTGTCTGTGAGGGCTGTGGCTCTATGGTAGAGCATCCGTTTGGCATGCAGAAGGTCCCAGGTTTAATCCCTTGGCATCTCCAGTTAAAAGGACCAGGTAGGAGGTAATGTGAAAGACACCTGTCTTAGACTCCGGAGTGCCCCAGCCAGTCTGAGTAGACAATATTGACCTTGATAAGCCAAGGGTCTGATTCAGTATAAGGCAACTTTGCGCACGCATGTGTGTGTGTGTGCGTGCGCGCGCGCGCTATAGTGTCTGGTTGGCTTCAGATGGGTAGAAATAGAATGTCAACTGTGAACAGGAAGCACATCTTCTGTCTTTGGAAATTGGGGGGAAATTTCTTTTGCTTTCCAAGTACCATTGCTTTCTTGTACGCTCTTTCCCCCTTTCTTCCTTTCCCCTAAAGAATACTTTAGCACCAAACTGTCAAGAATGTTCCTTATGCTTCTGGGGCTATTTACAGAGCTACCAGCTAAAAGTTATGATTGGCCTTCCTGGCTCATGCTTTTGAGCCACGGCTAATAAAAATAAACAGGAATGTTGTGGTTTCATCTTAACCTGAGCAAAACCAAGGACAGTAGAGGTAAACTCAAGTTGTCTAATAAGGCCCCACTGTGACTGGCCTTTTGAGAAGACTGCTGTGTCTCTGCAAGGATTACATTTCTGTGCTTGGCCCCGCCTGCTCGAAATGCACACCCAGAGCAACAATGTGCAGAAATAGAGTTGCCAACCCCCAGGTGGCACCTGGTGTTCTCCCGCGATTGTGACCAAAATCAGTTCCCCTGGAAAAAACCAGCCACTTTGAAGGGTGGACTCTGTGTCATTATACCCTGCTGAGGCCCCTCCCCCACATGCCCTCCCCAGCCCCCGCTCTCCCCAGGCCCCACCCCCCAAATCTCCAGGCATTTCCCAGCCCAGAGGTGGCAGGAACAGGGAAAGGGATCCTGTGAGGCAAGTTCAATCTTCCTGTCACCTGCTCCAAAATTTTTCCAGAGAAGCATCCCTTTTATTTGAATTCGGAAATAAATATATCTCAACTCTCAAATTCAGGAACCTTTACCAGGGCATATGGATTTACAAGTTATGGAATCCCACTGAGGCAATGAGATACCCCACCCTTCACTCGGAGTCTCAGAGCAGTTTACAAACTCCTTCGCCTTCCCTTCCCCACAACAGACACCCACCTGTGAGGTGGGTGGGGCTGAGAAAGCTCTGAGAGAACTGCTCTTTCAAGGACAGCTCTGACAGAACTGTGGCTTGCCCAAGGTCATCCAGCGGGTGCAGGTGGGAGGAGTGGGGAATCAAACCCGGTTCTCCCAGATTAGAGTCCGCACACTTAACCACTACACCAAACTGGCTTCACAGAGTTTTGGGGCATGTTAATAAGCTTCATTCGAGGTCCATGGAATAAAGTCAGCTTTGTATTCCTGGTTAACTAGGGTGTGGAATGTGGACATCCTATACATATTAGGGGGAAATGGCTATCCCAATAGAAGAAGCCCTCTGCAGCGGGGTTCTTTCTGCTTCCATATGCCAAATTACTTCAAAGGATGCATTAGAAGCTTGGGAAGAAAGCATTGCACTACAACAGATTCACACATCACTCTGGTAAAAGCCATTATTTCTTTATTCTGTGGTAAATTTCGACAGAAAGTTTGGTAGAGATAGGTTTTAAGCATAAGCACTCTCAGATTATTCTATCCTCGCCAGCCTTCTTTAAAGATCTAGGAATACAAGCACAGGCTTCCTTTGTTTAAATGAGAGGAAGATGTATATGTGGGTTAAGAGATCGCTGAATGGGAGCAACTTTTCTTCCAAAAATCACTGTTTCTGAAACTAGACAAATAACAAGTTTTCACAGTGATTTTTAGAAGAAAAGTTGCTCCCATTCAGCGATCTCTTAACCCACCTATACATCTTCCTCTCATTTAAACAAAGGAAGCCTGTCTGCATGCACTTCCAATGGAGACTTTACCCCCTTGGTGTACGGAAGAGATCCATGTGTACAAATAAGCAGCAAATGCTAGAGGGTAGTGTTCCCTCTAAGCTGAGTTAGTGTGAGCTAGCTCACCGGTTTTTAGCCTCCAGCTCACAGATTTTTGTCTTCGCTTTGGAAGGATGGCTCCAGAGCAAACTAATTTATGCAGTAGACAAATCGCACACTCACAACTTTAATCCTATTGGCTCACAAAGTAGAATTTTTGCTCACAAGACTCCATAGCTTGGAGGGAACATTGCTAGAGGGATAATAAAATTTGAACTAGGGCGGCTCAATTCACTCAGGAGACACGGCACGGGCACTGTGATTGCAGCAGGGGGAGAAGGCACTGCTGCAGAAACACTCATTTCCTTCCCCTCTAATACAATTTTAATGTATTTGGGAGGATGTTACACAGGTTGGAGCTGGAGAAGCCCTGAGGTATCTTCCAGAGGTTTTTTCCATTTTAATTAAATAACAATATGTTACTCCCTGGTTGCCCTTTCCCTGGCTCACCTTCCCTTCCCTTCCCGAATGTCTGTTGTATGCTGCCCTTTCCCTGGCTCACCTTCCCTTCCCGAATGTCTGTTGTATGTTATCACCCAGATGTACTCAGAGAAGATTACTGTTGCTCAGAAACGTGGGAGCCACACCCCCCCCCAGCATATGCCAAAACAGTTTTTGGTTTTATTTGTGCACAAAACATTGAAATCCACAATAGGTTCTTCTCTGGCTTCCCTTCTTTATGCCTCCACTGCCCAGGACAATAAATTAGGCTGTGCGCGTAGGTGATTCCAGTGGTGCAGAATAATCTAGGTAGGTGGATATGGGTTAACAATGTTACCATTAAGGAAGGTATAACATTAAACATAAGCACTGACAGCGTTCAGTTTAATGGACAATAATTAGCGGAAGCTGGCTTCATTTGGTACCATGTGCAAGAAGGAAAATGGGGCGGCAGGAAAAGATACATAGAACAAGAAAGTAATGAATCTTAAGTAATGTCACAAATGGCCAAGTTTGTTGCTCAGGTCCTACAGCTCCCTTCCGATAAGTGAGGAACCTCTTTCCTGGAGCAAGGTTCCTCACTTGGTGGAAGGGGACCATAGGACCTGGCCCCATAAAGTTTCAGTTGTAAAAAAATATATGTCTATGACTCATGCCTTCTCAAGAAGAACAGCGCAGCTGCTACCAAATCGACGCTGGCAGGTTAAGATACAGCTTCAGCCCAATTCATTCTAATCCATTACAAAGTCATGGCTTTATCTGCTGCAAAATGGATCTATATACTCTATATCTACAAACTCTTTGCAGGGGTTCCAGATCCTAAATGGAATGCTCTGATCTTCTCTTCTCCACCATGAGCCTTCCATTTAAACAATCATGAACTGGCACACGTACGGCAACTTATCTCGGCACCTCTTGTCAAACCACTTGCCAATGGCTACCCCTGATAAGGCTGCACAGTTTTCCAGCTTCCCGCCGTCAGGCTGGGTGGTGATCTCAGTTTCCCAGTTCTTGTAGGCAACACTGTTGCCTGTCATGTCCACCCATCTTCCTTCAATGGCCATGTCATTAACACCTAGCCAGATGTCCATTTCGGACCCAATGTTCTTCCTCATGTATTCATAGAGGGCATCATTTTCATCTCCTGTCTGCGGGGTACTGAGGGTGCCACCTTGAGAGATGCAGTCTTCACTGGCTTCGTGGTAGGTCTTTGCATCGGGGAAAAGCAGGACGCACTTTAGATTGATCTTGGTGCCTTTCAGACAAACTAACAAGGGATGGGGGAGAAAGGACAAAAGTTATAATTAGCACAGGGAAAATGTGTGGCTGAACACTGAGGAGCTACAAATCAATATCCAATTTATGCTATCTTGTTGATTCTAGATCTCTAATCAATACTGGCCCTGTGAAATATACCTACTAGGAACCAGTTGCCTTCCCATTTCCATTAAATTGGTCAAACCATGTTCATTTATTCTACAATACACAAACTAAACCCATGTGTTTAGAAGGGTATTGCTCTGTTTAGGATGGCATTCGAAGAGAAGCAGTGGAAAAGAAGCCAAGCATGCATTTCAGATTTGCAGTTGAGAGTTCTTTGTGTGTGTGTTTTTAAACAGCAATTTAGAAAATTGATTTTTAATGCAAAGCAATATGCCACTGTTCCTCAGTTGTTGCAAAGAACTGGGTGCCTTTCCCTAAAGAGAGCATTTCTGCTACAGGAAGCAAAATAGTCACTATATCTTTCCTTACAATATGTATTTTGTCCCATGCTAGCGTCTATTTCACTAATGAGAGACATAGGAACTTACTGGACAGTGCTAGTGAAGATGTTAACAATACACAATACAAGAACTCGTGGGCACTCAATGAAATTGCTGAGCAGTTGGGTTAGAACAGATAAAAGGAAGTACTTCTTCACCCAAAGAGTGATTAACACATGGAATTCACGGCCACAGGAGGTGGCGGTGGCTACAAGCATGGACGGCTTCAAGAGGTAATTAGATAAGCATATGGAGCAGAGGTCCATCAATGACTATTAGCCACAGGTTATAGGTAGGAACTCTCGGTCTGGGGCAAGTGATGCTCTGTATTCTTGGTGCTGGGGGGGGCAACAGCGGGAGGGCTTCTAATGTCCTGGCCTGTCAGCTATGCTGCCATGGGGGTTGGGATGCTTGGTCAGAGTCTGTGTAAATTGCTTTCGCATTCCTGTCTCTGCTTTGCGCCGAAATGCTTATCTATAATGAAGTGCAGGTGGGAGTGTGTGTTGTCTGCCTTTTCAGGCAGCTGTGGGAACCGGACAGTTCCCAGCTTCGCCTAGTAACAGTTTGCTGGCTTTAGCCCACACGCGGGAGGGTGCCTAATTGGCCAACACAGTGGGGTGTGTGTGCATACGAATGTCCTATATCTTATTATGTCCAAGGGACGACTGCTATTCTTAACAGTGACTATGTTAATGCATCTATAGCTCCTCAATAAAAGTATAACCTTTCCTGAAAGCATGTCCTCTGTTGTTGGCTGTGGGTTCTGACATGGCCCCACTGGTAGACCTCCTGATGGCACCTGGTATTTTTGGCCACTTCGTGACAGAGTGTTGGACAGGATGGGCCGTTGGCCTCATCCAACATTGGCTTCTCTTGTGTTCTTATGTACTCATGTAATTGTTAGTGGCAGAATGATCTCCCACTGTACTAGTCAAGCATGAGAAACCTTTTTCTTTAAAAAAAATTGGTGAACAATTGTGCGCACTGGCAGTAATGTCCCTGCCAGTTCATTGGAATGTTCTTCCTCCTTGTTCTTTAATTTTTTAAAAGGTGTGCAATTCACCTCTCCAGCAAAGCAGTACACATAAAAAGAAACTCCTGTCCCCAAGATTTATCCCCCAGAGGGGCTTTTAGAGGAAGAGAATGTGGTTTGGTTGTCCTTTGTAGAATTGTGTGGCTAAGCCCTTCATATCTGTGTGCAGGTCATGGTCTATCTGAATTTCATTTTATTCTTACAACTACCATGCTATGGATTAGGCTGGGAAGTCGTGAGTTGCTCAGGGCTTCTTGGCTGAGAATAGGTCTGAACTCATTCAGCTGACGGGCAGTATATTTATTGTAGCTGCACTAGATGATTCCTTAAAGAATCAGCCATTTTATGCCATGTCAGAGGTTGGGCTGACGTGCTCAAGGCCACAAAGTGGGCATCATAACAGAATTGAAACATTCTGCCACGCCTAAGGGGAAATTTAGACATTGCCTTCTTTAAGGTTCCCTAGATCCAGTGTACTTTCACCCCAGCCATATGAAAGCTGTGGGGAATGTCTCTTTAAAAATGAGGGAGAGCCCAATTTGGCTTGGAACTGCAGCATGGTAGGAGGAGGCGCACCAGTCTCCCCACCCCCATGCATTTTCCCAAGCTGAAATGGGGTACGGGGTATGTGTGTAATTTCCCCCTTTTTTGCAGCTGAATAAAGCTGCAGTGGCTCAAGTGGTTAAGACGCTGAACTGCAGGCTGTGGAAGGTCGGTAGTTCAGGAGTTCGAGACCCGGGTGCTGCATGATGGAGTGAGCTCCCGTCTCTAGTTCCAGCTCCTGCCAACCTAGCAGTTCGAAAGCAAGAAATTGCAAGTAGATAAATAGGTACCACTTCGGTAGGAAGGTAACAGCGTGCCGTGCGCCTTGGTGTTTAGTCATGCCGGCCACATGACCACGGAAACATCTTCGGACAGCGCTGGCTCTTCGGCTTTGAAACGGAGATGAGCACCGCAACCCTAGAGTCGGATTCGACTGGCTTTCGAGCAAGGGAACCTTTACCTTTACCTTTAAAGCATATTTGTTTATCTGTTTATTTATACAATATTTATATCTCACTTTTCCTCTTTGCTCCAGGTGGCTTGCAAATCCTAACCAAAAGCACCCCAATTAAAAACCAGCAACATAAACCTCCAAATGACTGCCCCTCCCAATAAACTGGCCTGGCTGTATGCTGAGCAAACGTCTCAGTTACCATCTCTGCCACATGTTTCTATACTCTTGCAAAAAAACTGCGCCAGTTTTGCGGTCCGGACACTAAGACGCATACCTGTCTGAAGTGCTTGTTTTTCTTTGAGAAGAGCCACCTCCTGGGAGATGTTGTCGAGCTGCTCCTTCAGCTCTTCAATCATTTTGAGGCTCACCACATCTGCGGCGGAAAGAAAGTGATTAATGAGAATGTCTACTTCACAAAGGCAATCAGAATTATGAGCGGCATCAGAGCTCCCTCCTGTCCCTGATTCAACACCTGATAACAATGAACCAAAACCGGGAAACAAAAAGGAAACCGGCAGGTTCTATGTTCATTACATAGGATAAGACGGTTGATCACTGTAGCTGCTGTTAGTGCATATCATCAAGTTGAAAAACTGGTAATCAGGGCTATTTTTGGGCAGGAACACACAGGAACGGAGTTCCGGCTGGCTCCCAAGTTGGCCACGCCCAGCAGGAACTCATTAGCATAATAGGCCACACCCAACAGCAGAAAGTCATTAGGATTGGCTACATTAGGGGTGTGTGGCCTAACATGCAAAGGAGTTCCTGCTACACAAAGTCCTTGGGTTTTGACAGCAAACAAGGTAAACAGAATAACAAGCAAAAGGTGGGTGTGGCTGGATGACCACACTTCTGGTAACATGGGGGTGCGGCCTAATGTGCTAATGAGCTGTGCTGTCAGGGGTGTGGCCTAATATGCTAATGAGTTTCTGCTGTTGGGTGTGGCCTATTATGCTAATGAGTTCCTGCTGGGCTTTTTCTACAAAAAGAGCCCTGGATCCCAAATTTATTTTTTGTTACTCACTCCAATCTGTTACCTGCCCCTTGTCTCGTTGCACAAGTTCTTATGCTCTATCACCAACTCTCTTTTAGATTCAGGAACACTATAGTATGCTTTGGTTTTGCACAATGATATAATTTGGAGAATACACCATAATGTACAGGACTCAGGGATTTAGCACCGCAGAGATTCTTCCTGCAATATTATTGCTTAAATCTTGTTACGTGTTCCTGATTTTGGTTGCCTCACCACAGCAAGCCACTTTCAAGCTCTGATGCAGCTGCACTGGACTGTGAACTCCACTCTAACCCCCAATAGTTTTAAGGGCCATGTTAAGGTTCACTTAGCACTCTTTCACACACACATTAATCCCACAGAGGGAGACCCGGTGTGGTGTAATAGTTATTGCTCCACCATGAAATGTGTGTTGGAAATTGGTGCTATTCTTGCACTATAACCAATCATTAGCAGCACTGTAGACAAAACAATCAATTTGCTAGTGTTGCCAACATCCAGGTAATGGCTGGAGATCTTCCGATATTCCAACTGATCTCTGGGTGATAGATATCAGTTCACATGGAGAAAATGGCTGCTTTGGAATGTGGACTCTATAGTATTATACCCCATTTAAGTTCCTCCCATCACCAAACACCGTTCTCCTCGGGCTACAAGCCCCAAATCTGCAGGTATTTCCCAGCCTGGAGCTGGCAACCCTACAATTTGCAAATGACAGATATTGTGCAATGTTAGCATAATATCTGTTGATGTGTGGATACTGAGTGTGTTGATTTTGTCACGCCGGGCGTCGCCCCCTGGTGTGGGAGGAGCTTCAGCCATGTCGGTGTTCATCCCTCAGGGGAAGCCAGAGCCTCAGACTTGGAGTGCAGAGAGAGTTGCGTCACTCCCTATCCACCACTCCTCGGGGTTGACAGCTGCTTTCGGAACACTTTCTCTCTCTGTACCTACACCCGTCACCTCCGACATCCTCTTCGGCTCTACAGGCTTCCCCCTTTTTATATCCCTCCACACGGGGCAAGCCCTCCCCTGCTCCTCCCTGGTTTCTGATAGGGCAGGTTCCTTGTCACTTCTTCCTGTCCCACCCCCCTGGTTGGGCTGCCTGGGCATCTCTAAGGGCGGGGCCATTTCCAGGGAATCCCTGGGCTTCACGTGCGACCGAACGAGCGCATGGGCTCCTGTCGTCTTGGGTAAGACCCATCTTCCCCGGCTTTCCTGCAACCACGCCCTCCCTCCTGTTCCCCGCACGTCCGGGACTAGCCCTCCTCCTCCTGAGCCTTTCCCTGGCTGGCCGTCCGCCTCTACCCCTTCGGAACTGTTCTCCGAGGGGTCTTCGCCCTCCGAGGCTCGTGGAGACTTCAGCGCGGGTCGCGCCTGGGTAGAAGAATTTCATCCTTCTACCCAGGACCACCCCACTCTGTTGTGAGCATGGCTAAGTAATGCTTCACTGCCTGTTTGTCAGTTCACTGCAGCTTTCAATTCACCTTTTCAGTATGTTAACAAAGTAAAGATTGAAACAAGTTAAGTGGTTGTTAATACAAGCAAAGTAACCACATAAACATGTGCAGTGCAGTGGTTAGGGTGCTAGACTAGGATCTGGGAGACTCAGGTTCAAATCCCCACTCTGCCATGGAAGCTTGCTTGGTTGATCTTGGGTCAGTCACATGCATTCAGCCTAGAGATGGCAGACCCCCTGGAGAGGGAGGGGGTCACCTGCTGCCAGGCCCCACCTCTCTGCCACGAATCAGCTGGAGGAACACCAGGCATTTCAGCAATGTGCCCATGTGACTTCAATGTGACGTAGAAGTAACGTAGGCACGTTGAGGGCATCAGGGCAATGCTCTGGTTTGGGGGCAAAACCTCTATGGTAGAAGCTAATTCTACCATAGAGTTTTTGCTCCAAAACCAGAGCGTTGCCCCAAAGCCCCGGATGTGCCTACACGAGCGACTTCCGGGTAATGTTGAAGTCACATGGGCACGTCACTGAAATGTGGGATAAACTCCCAGCCCTTGCTGAGGGACCTGGAAACCCTCATTTAACCTAAACTACTTTACGGAGTTGTTATGAGGATAAAATGGAGGAGAGGAGAATGATGACTTTGGGTTCCCATTGGGGAGAAAGGTGGGGTATAAGTGAAGTAAACAAACAAGCAAACAAGTGCTGTGTTTTGGAACTCTCCCTCATGAGAAGAAGCATAGGATGACATAGAGCATTAAAAAGTCAGTTTCCAAAGCTATTTAGAAATGGAATCCCAACATCCTTAAATCTGGCTTCCTTAATTCTGTGTCATTCTTGGTTGCTGGCTTGGGTAGTTTCCAAATGCCATTCCTTTGTTCTGGATCTCTCAATTTTTGTGGATGATGATACTTAAATAATTGTCCCCAGGAGATACAAACTGTGAGAATTAAAAGGTTTTTTTTTTTAAGAGCAAAACAAAGCACAAGGAGGAGGTGTATTAATGCCTCATTTAGTCATTATTCAATTAACAGAATGGTTTCCACATTAGTCATTATGTTGGCTCCTCTAATCAAAACATATTCTAGGAAACATCTAATTCCCAGGGCTCTGTTCAAATGAAATAATTCATGGCAATATTTATCCCTGCTTGATATTAACCTGTGCTCTGCTTGCCTCCAGGATCTGTGCAGCTCTGCCAGTTACCTGTTTCTGTTATGGCTTAGGGTGAGGTTTGCTTATGCAGTTACTGCTGGCAGGAAATTTTTCTATGCCTTCTCCACTTGGTCAAATTTATATTTACCAACACTGAGGGCCGTACGAGACATAATGGCTTCCTCATGGCCACCACAAGGCTGCTGCTCCCATTTTAAAGACATTCTAAAGGGCTGTGAGGGCCCAATCCTGATTGGACCTGCAGTGCTGAGGGCTGAGGCACTCCATCCCCATGCCTTATCAAGTGCTGAAATGCTCCCCTCCCTCAGCTGTTTCAGCAACTGAAGAGGCATGGCGAAGGGAGACAAGTAGGGTTGCCAAGTGTGTTTTTCTTGGTGGCGGGGGGCTCCCGGCCGGCATCCCGAGTGTGCGCGCGCATAGAGTTTCCCCCTCAGATGGCTGTGGCTCCGCCCCCAGCGTGCCCGGCGTCAGCACATCACATCCGGCTGACATGCATGCCGGGGTGGGGTTTTCCCCGGGGTCGGATTCCGCGGCAGCAGAAATCGGGCCTCCAAAGCGGGGGGAAATCCACCCCCCGGAGGGACTTGGCAGCACTAGAGACAAGAGTCTCATGCTGCAGGCCCAGTCAAGATTTGGTCCCCCCGGCATTTTTAAATGACTTTCAAGGGGCTGCGGCGTCTTTTGTTGGCCCTCAGAGTTTGTTTAAGATGTCTTTAACATGCTGTTTCAGCTCCATATCACAGTTCAGTATTAGTCGCACCATAATGGAGGAAATGGCTCAAGAGCTTAGCCGCGAGAGCACAGGGTTGCCAGGTCCCTCTAGGCAGCTGGCTGGGGACAGGGAGTGGGCTTACGGGGAGCAGGGAGTCTCGCCTGATGTTTCTTCAACGTGCCCACGTGACTTCCAACGTGACCCGGAAGTGACGTAGTCACATTGGGGATGTCGGGGCAACTTTCTGGTTTGGGGGCAAAAACTCTATGGTAGGATTAGCTTCTACCATAGTTTTTGCCCGAAAACCAGAGCATTGCCCCGATGTCCCTGAAGTGTCTATGTCACTTCTGGGCCACACTGAACTCAGGCACGTTGCTAAAACGTCGGGTGTTTCTCCTTCTTTGTGTGTGTGTTAAATTCCCCCCCCAGCTGATCAGTGGTGGAGAGGTGGGGCCTGGAAGCAGGGGACCCCCACTCCGCCGGGGGGGTTTGGCATTTCTACGAGAGAATGACAGGGAAAAGTTACCAAGTAGTGACTATTTCCTCTCAAAAATGACAACTCATGCTAAACTAAAGAGCTGTCTTTAGCAGGATTTGCTTCAGAGGCCAGAGTAGCTGAAGCAAAATGGCTCTGCATCACATAATCTGCTCTTGTCACACAACAATGTGATTCAACACATCGCTTCCAGTCCAAGCCATAGTGAGGAGCCACAGAAAGAAAAAATGGTGGCAGCCTTTGTGGCATTTTTGTGGCCCTTCTGTCTTCCTCATGCAACAGCAGCATCTGCCTCTTCAGTGGCATACTGGGTGGGGGGCAGTCCGTCCCGGGCAAAGCTTAAGGAAGGTCTTTGAAGGGGGCCCTCAAAGCCAGTGTTGTCCTTCTGCCTCCAGCTGAATGTCTTTCCTTTTATTTTTAAAATGCAGTTCAGGCTGCAGCCACTAGGGGTGCAGGGAAGTCTGAGCATAGCAAAAAGCACCCAAGGGTCCTTTCCACGCTAGACCTTAAATCCTGGTTCAACCCTGTCCCCGAACTTACATTCTACACTACACATGGGTTCACCCCTGTAATTATCTCTGGGTATTTTTTGTTTCCACATGACAATTGAGGTCACCCCGGTTTCGCCCCACACTTGTCCTGGGATAAACGGATGCTGTCATAACCAGGGATAAATGCAAGATATTGTGTTGCGAGTTGAACTCTGATAAAACCAGGGATGAGATTCAAGTGTGGAAAGTGTTGGAAATGTATGTGTTTACAAGGTCTGACAGTCCAGTCATTATAGGGTTAACTTGTTTACCTGGTATTGCTATTGTTTAGACTGCCCTGGATGGGATAACTGGCACTGAGCCAATGGGGAATTAGCCTGGGAAAAGTAGCTTCTATTGTGATACAGATTGGTTGTTTGTTTTCAGGTGACTTCCTTTCTAGGGGTCGAGAAGAAGGACAGATTCTCCATTATCTGTGTGTTAGTGTGTGACTATGTTTTGAGAAGTAAGCAGTAGAAAATATAGCTGTTAGATGTTCTGTTATTTTGTAGGTTCCCTGTATACCTTTTACCCTTAGAAATAAAGGTTTTTAAAAGCAAAGAAATCTCTTCTTTCCAATAGAGCAAGATCCATTGATACTAATTTAAATACTTTTGACTATTTTTATAACTGAAAGGACCAAGGATTGGCTAAGCTTCCCTTTTCTCCAAGTCTCAAGCAAACTTCCTTAACAGATCATGCTGATAGCTGCTACAGCAATTGCCAGCCTGCAGGTCATTGTCTCCAATAGCCTAGCCTTTCTCTCTCTTTTTCCTGACACCCAGCTCAGCCAGATCTTGCAAAGCAGTAGTTAGGGTCCTGCAGCAAAATAAAACTATCTTTCCCTCTCTTAATTTCTCTCCCTCTTTTCCACACATTTCTCATTCATTTATGTCTCCCTTCACCTAAGTTTTCCATGTCCCCCCTTCCCCTTTATTTTCTCTTCTTGGTCTCAAGACCTTCTCATCCCTATCCTGCTTGGTGACAGAACATATTTAAGAGTCTGAACATCTCTTGCCTTGAAAACCCTACAAGATCACCATACGTCAGCTGTGACTTGGTGGCAAATATATAGAGAGAGAGTTTCTAAAAGAATTATCCGTCCTGGGTGCCAAATAGGCTAGGTACGCCACTGTGCCTCCTAATAAGCCCCTGCATCCTTCTGAGGATGTTTTAAAATCTAATATCTTAATTTAGACCTATTTTCCAAATGTTGAACTGATTGATGGTTCATCTCTTTCCCATTATCTGCACCACATGTTTTGGCTGCCATCAGCAAATGTATAATTAGCTCTGTCTATATAATTAACAATATATTTCAGATAACATTAAGAGTGACCTCAGGATCAGGAGATATCGAATATTTAGGCATTTAATTAAACCAACTTCAGCCCAAAATATATGAATATCAGGACATAAGATCTGCATGTTCAGAAAGATACCACCAAACAACCTGTAGAACTAAGAAACCATCATAAGCTATCTTTATTGTATATTTTCCCCTTAAATGTAGAAAGCGAATTATTTTATGTTTTTTTCATACCACTGACTCTTAGTCAAATGACTTCCAAGGCGCCTTCCAATAAAAACACATCCTATTAAAATAGCTTGCTAACAGTCTAAAATTCTATGAGTCCCTTCCACCAGCAATGAAGTCTTCTGCTAGTGGAGCACACCTAGTGTCCCCAACCTCCAGGTTGTAGCTGGAGATCTCCCACTGTTACAACTGATCCCCAGGTGACAGAGATTAGTTCACCTGGAGAAAAATGGCTGCTTTGGGAGGTGGACTCTATGGCATTAGACCCTATTGAAGTCCCTCCTCCCCAAACCCCACAATCTCGAGGTATTTCCCAACCCAGAGCTAGCGACCCTAAGCACACCTCTTCCACTAGACTGTAACTCCTTTTGCCTGTGCAAGGATTGGCATCAGCCATCTCACCCCACTGTGAGCTTCAAAACGTCACATTAAATATACCAGTCCCAAGGGAGAAATCAATCTGACAAAGGCAGAGCTGACAACTAACACAAAATAAACAATCAAATCAACCAATAGCGAGAATAAACAGAATAGCCCTTTGCCTAAACCTATCAAATTTTATCCTACCTTTCCTTCTTAGGAGCTCGGGGTTCTTCCCATCTCCTAGTTTAGCCTCACAACAACTTTTTAAGGTAAGGTGAGAGAATGCGGTTATGGCCCTAAGGGCTTGATCCAGCTAGATTTTTTGTTCAGTCTCACCAAATTCTTCCTTACTGCAGCTCCTGTTCCACGTGGCTATGCAAGTCCCATGATGCCCAACATAGCACTTGTGGGTGGTTAAAGGACACCCCTCCACTGGCTGGACCAACCCATTGTCACCTAGTGAGCTTCCCAAGTCTTAATCTAACCACTATACCACACTAGTTCTCTAAATATCAGACAGAGTTGAGACACTACCCTCAAAGGCCATATCTAGTTCCCCTCCACAGCCAAAAAAGTTTAAATCGGCATCCCGCGTTGAAGTTGGATCTAGAAGGAGATTAAAATCAACAGAACCAGCAATATGACATAGAGTTTTGCTGTTAAATTGCTGGAGGTGATACTCCATATATAGTTCAGAATCATGACTCTTAGTTTGCTGCATTTTAAAGCAATGTGGATAAAATATGCCTACTTGGACCACATGCCTCCAATTGCCTCCTTGTGTATTTTTTCCTTACCATTGTCTGTAGAGCCAATGTGTTGGGTAATGGTAAAGACTACTTGGACCACATGCCTCCAATTGCCTCTTTGTGTATTTCCTTACCATTGTCTGTAGAGCTAATGTGTTGGGTAGTGGTAAAGTATTAAACTGGGATTTGGGAAACATCAGCCGTCATGAAGCTCACTTGGGTTACGGTACTTTCTCACTTGCCTAACCTCCCTCAGAGTTTTGTTGTGAGGATAACTATAATAAGAGGAATTCTTCCTTACCCAATTTCTCCCTGAAACCCAACTACCCATTTCTTTTCCTTTTTTAGAAAAAGGAATTGGAGTCTGTTTCAAATCAATTCCATTTTGATCAAAAGAGAAATTCAAAGACAGGAGAGACAGGAAGCGAGGTTCTGCAACATTTCAGAATTTCATTAGATGCACAGAGGCAGGCAATGTCTTCCTAAACCTTCCTGCCCTTCTGTTAAGAGTGACCTGGTGTATAACATCAGCCCTCCCTCCCAAAGCTGCATGTAGGATGCATAGAGGTGTACCAGAAAACCACAAAGAGAAATTAAAGAGAAATTCTTCTTTCAAAAGACAAAAAGAGAGTAAGAGAAATGAATAGCCATATCTAGAAAAAGTGAACTTCAGAAAAAAGAAATTCCACTCTCCATAACAATGCGAATAAAACCATGTATTCTGCTCTGAGCTCTTTAGAGGAAAGGCTGGATAAAAATGTAATAGATATCAGCTGCATATTGAGATACACTATTACTAATTAGTTCAACTTGTCCCATGAAAATCCCCCAGTATTGGTTTCTGTCACGTATCTATGTGATGAAGTGGGCCGTGACTCATGAAAGCTCATGTGTCCGTAAGGTACCACTAGATTTTTGTTTAATTTTGATGTCAAAAGGCCAAGTTGGCTTCACCAGGAGATGAGCTAGCAACTGCTCTCAGGCTTGCATCAAACATTTAAGTCCTTCCTTGAAGCCATATTAAACTTCCTAAAGTAGATTCTTCCATCCCCACTTTTTCTGAGTCAGCTTATTTGCTCGGGCACTCCTCCACCACACCTGAATCCAGCTCCCGCTGAGAGGCCCCTTCCCTCCAGCTGCCAACCGACATCCGTGAGGCCTCCAGAGGGAAAGCTGGACACCGCGTGGTGCTTCTTTGCAATGCTGGAGCCCACCACCCCCCAGCTGAGAATCCCTTTCTCAGAGCCTGTCTTATACTTCAGTTCACTTGTCGTGTGTGGTTAGGATTCACAGAAGCGGCTTTGGAAGCCAAGTTTTTGGCAGAAAAGCAATCGAGAAACAAGAAAGCAGACCAGAGGCCGGCCATGTGAGCAGAGAGCAAACCTTGCTACACCCACCCAGGGTGGCATGAAGTTCCCATAGAGCTCCCCGTCAGACCGGGATTTCAGGAGAGGCAGAAAAAGTGATTCATGCTTGTAGAAAGCCCACTTCTTTACTAGGGCATAACACACACACACAGAGAGAGAGAGAGAGAGAGAGAGAGAGGTTCCAGAGTAAGCCTGCACAGCATCAAAAAACATTAAAAATAAACCCATGTTAGTAATATTTTTCAGTATTATGCTAACACAGAAAGGGGGAGGGAGTTGTGTTTTAAATACTGAAAACAAATCCAACTGTTTTTCACTATTCCACTAACTTAGAAGGGGGGATGGGGGAAAGTTATCTTTTTTTAAAAAGGCACAATAAAGAACTGCAACAGAGAGCCAGCACAGTGACCATCACCCTTCGTGCCTTTGATCAGAGTTGGCTACGGGAAAGGCAGGCACAAAACTAAACCAGACAGCAAGGTGTTGTTTTTTTCCATTGGGAGGTATTTACATTTCTTACAGGGCAGTTAAGTTAAGTAACTTCCTCATTTACAATGAAAATTAGGAGGCAAAAGCTTGTTCCTTCCCATCTCAATACAAAATACAACTTGCATTTGTGAGTATAAATCTCATACAGCTGGGTTTATAAAAGAGACAAGAGACTGCAAGATCAGCCCTACCAGGTCTCTTACCTTTCTTATTCTCTGGCTTCTTCTTGAATTTGATGTTCTGCTGGGCTGTTATCTGGGCCACACTAAAAAGGCACAAAATCAGGCAGGCTGCTCGGAATGCCATTCTGCCACTGCCGCTGCTCTCAAAATGAGCGGAACAAAAGCCGATTTGGTCTGCCCTGGACCAGCCTTCTGAACATGGGCTTTAACCAAAAATGTCTGGCCACGAACCCATTCCAGATTCTTCCCTCGCATTCCTGTGATTGGAGGTTATTTTACAGATTGCTGGAGGAGATCCAGGATCCTGAGGGATTAGAGGAACATTGAATCTCTTCCTATAAACAGGGTGTGGGGGGGAAGGGAGAGGCACCAGTATGTTTCTTTTGTTTCCAAGGTTTCGCTTAAACTCACATCGGACTGCCAAAGAAAATCACCAAGAGCAAAAGTCTCTCTTTCCAATGGATTTTATGACACTCGAAAATAAGGTCACAACATTTGGCGGCAGCAGTGCCTATGAGTTGCATAAGAGACAGAAATTCAGCAGGGACAGTGTGTTTAGGCTACATTTTCATCTTGCCCTTCCTTGAAGGATCTCGGGTAGAGTTGAGAAACTGTCACATCACAGTTGTCCTGTGCAGTAGATTATGCTGACAGTGTGGCCTAAACCTCATGAGCTAGGCAGGGATTTGAACTCAAAGTCCTAATCCAACACTCTAACCACTATACCACACTGGATCTCCCTTCCTAGTATAGTTATGGATTCATAGGGAGAGCTGTACCAATTGAAATTCTGTCTGTCACACACATCTTAAATTACTGTCACAAAAGATGCGGCAACTCTATGGCCCAATCCTGTTAGCCATCAGGCTGGCAATAGAGCTCCATATAAGTGGGATGTGATGCATGCATGGATCTCCATGTGAGCCAGAGTTGCAACTTTACATTTCAATAAAAAGTAGCTCTACAGATAGAAGGTAGGCAAGGACACCTTTGCCCTCATAACCGTACAAGGAAAAGGGCTATAGGCTTACGTTTTGAAAAGAAAAGAAAGAAAGCTGGGAACCAGTAGATTGTAGCAATAGATGGTTATATTATTATTTCATTAAAGCAATCTGTTGAGTACCAGCTAGGAGCTGAGGCAAGTAAAATGGGTCCAATGCTGATGGTTCCTGCAAAAATGTGCACCTTCTCATTCACATGGCATCCAAAGGTGCTTTTCCCAAAAGATCATATTAAATCAAGTTTTGGAAAGATCACAGCAAAGTGGAGATAAAGACAGAAACTGAGCAAACAGAGGATGTTGTCACATGGATGCTCCCTAAAACAGCACTGCAGTAATGAAACCAAGGTGGAGCAAAACATCAGGGTCAGGCAGCCCATGGGTAGGATGAAAAAGCATTCCACAAGACTGCCTGTTGGCCATTTGTTGCACCCAGAGAGCCTGAAAGATGAAACAAACCAACTCTCTTCAGTTCTAGAAAAGCTGGTCACCTTGAAGCAATTCTCCTAACAGGGAACTAATTTATAAACCCAGATTAGAACCACTGTCCAAAGAAACATGTTACGATGCTGTAATACTTGCTGAACATTTCAGTACATAACCTCTTTTAATCTTTCATTTTTATTTATTCAAATATTTTATTCCACTTTCCTCATCCCAAGGCAGGTCACAAATGCCTACAAGGCAAATAAACACACGCACATATACATTACATACAGAAACACCTTAAGAACATAAAACCAAATAATGGGCAGACCGACATCAAGAATAGCAACAGCATCCTCGGTCCAACCCAAGCACTATTTGCTGCACACATTCAGGCAAAAACCTTCCAAAAAAGACCAATTCACTTAGCCTCCTAAAAACAGGGGTGGGGCATGTCTAAGAAAGCCCTTGATGCCGAAGGTGAGCAAACACGTCTGAAAGTGGCAAGAACTTGCTGGAATGAAGTTGGCACATGGGTTCGTAGTAGGCAGGGTGGCCTAGAACCTTGGATTAGCAGAGCAATGGAATGAAGAAAGAACGCTGATTATTTAAGGACACTGCCTGAGAAATCCAAACTGGATGTAGACGCATCAGCAAAAACTGTCAAGTAACTAGGTCAGCAGACCCCAGCGTGGTACCACGCCCATGGGTGCCATGCTGCCTGCCAACACCTTTCCTGATGCTCACCAAGTGTTTTTTGAAAGCGAGTGGAGCTTTTGCCCACCAGGACTTCTGGCTGACCACTGTGCAGATTAAAATAACATGTTTCAGCAGCTGCCGCCAACACAGTGTTTGTTTTTTAATTCTTTCTTCCCTCTTTCCCAGTTTTCAAATTACCCCTTTTCTTCCCTGCACTTTGGCTGTTTCTGTGTGTGGTTTTGCCTCCTGGGGCAGCCATTTTGTGGTCGGCTTCCCCTTCTGTAGCAGCCATTTAGTTATGGCACCCGCCCACCCTGTGTCAAAATTCCAAAGGTGGCAACAGGCTTGGAAAGGTTGGGGACACCCAAACTAGGCCATGTAGGAATTCACCCTTCCTTTTGTGCTTCAGAAAGATGGATAGTTGGGTGGAATCAAGAAAATGTTAATGCATTTGCGACTGCTCTGAATTAAAAGACAGCAGTAGTAGGACCCAGACAGAAACAGGAGTTTCACCTACCTATAATGGGCTTTTGGCCTATACTACTGCAAGGTGTGATCGAGTTCAAGTACAGTTTATTTCAATATAAAATCAGCTTAAAACCTTGCTGCATGCAATACTAGGACGGACAAATAAGTTTAAAGGTGTTGTTATAGTCCAGCCCTGTTTAAGGACTTTACCATCTGCTTACGTATATTGCATGCCCTCATACAAAATGTTGTGACGTTGTGAGTTACTTGTGAAGAAAGATCGGAGAGAAGCAAGGAGATGTAGAACTGCTCTGTTCTTCCTGGGGAGTTTACTAACACTGGCGTGATATATTGTGAGCGAATATAGTAGGAGCAGTGTAATAATACATGCTCTACAGTCTCGACCTTTCCCCTTTGGCAGGGACACCCCTGTTGTGTATGAGGAATACAGAAGTATCTGCCTTCCAGAAAGGCTGAGGGCAGGGCATTGGAGCGTGCCAGAGTAAATATTCTTTGGTATTTAGGGACTTCTAGGGCTGTTTTTGGAAAGGTATGTTACTGTAGGATACCGCTCCAGGCAGGACCTATCAGACTGGAGGGCCAGGGTGGGCTGTCCCTTTTCTAAAGAAGAATCTCAGGATGGCTGAGGTCGTTCTGTGGACATTCTCAGCCATATGGAATGCTTGGGCTCTCCACGACCCTGTCGACTGGAAAACGAGACCAAAATATTTAAAGGATTTAACAAGGTGCGCTATTGGGTCTCTGAGACACAATGAAGTTCACCTGTTGTGTATGAGGAATACAGAAGTATCTGCCTTCCAGAAAGGCTGAGGGCAGGGCATTGGAGCGTGCCAGAGTAAATATTCTTTGGTATTTAGGGACTTCTAGGGCTGTTTTTGGAAAGGTATGTTACTGTAGGATACCGCTCCAGGCAGGACCTATCAGACTGGAGGGCCAGGGTGGGCTGTCCCTTTTCTAAAGAAGAATCTCAGGATGGCTGAGGTCGTTCTGTGGACATTCTCAGCCATATGGAATGCTTGGGCTCTCTCCACGACCCTGTCAACTGGAAAACGAGACCTAAATATTTAAAGGATTTAACAAGGTGCGCTATTGGGTTTCTTTTTAAACCATTTTTTTTAAATTATTATTTCCAAAGCAAATTAAGCCATACTATCGCCAATAACAAAGATACAACTTCATGAGAATGCAACTCAATAACAATTATAAACTAAGTCAGTAAATATTACAAACCATAACATTTTAACAGAAGGACCTTCTAAAAAGACATGTGTATTATTCCACAGAGTTAAGGGGGTAAAGATTACGAATATCGTCTCTACTCGACAAACCTTGGTAATACTGTCTTATAACGTTAGCCATTTGTGATAATGTAAGTTTGCAGGTAAGATATCGTGCAAAGTGAGATAAGAGAATATTGGGTTTCTGAGACACAATGAAGTTCTTCCATGTAGAATCTGGTTAAAATGGTAAGGTTATTGCAAACATGTCAATATGAGTTATGTGGGTGTACGAAAATTGTATGGCAATTTAGGTATAGCTTAGGTTTTCTGGGAGTATCTACCAGTCGATAATGTTATAATAGTTTTACTTTTGGATTGCTCTTTTTTTGGTGAACTTAATAATCAATAAAGAATTATTTTAAAGAAAAGGTGTGATCAGGGCCACAAATTTAGATGGCTTAAAACCAGGGTTAGGCAAATTCGTGAAGAAGAAGGCTGCCCATGGCTACTAGGGACAAGAACTCACTGAAGCCTCCATGTACTTGGGTGGCCATCCCTGTTATTCCCTGCTTGTGAAGTCCCAGGAGATCATCTTACAAAGGGAATGCTGACTTCAGTGTACTTCGGTCTCATTCATAAAAGCAGTTCTTATTTTCTTAAGAGCTGACTTGTTATGAAGATAATGCCATTTAATCTCTTATGGTGGTTTAGGCTGGTTTACATGCAGTGGCGCCAGCAAATTTATTTCAAATAGTTCTACCCTGCCTATCAAGCCACAGGATTATTCTCAAAATGAAATAAATAAACAGCCTTGATTCATATTTGTTTGCATTTTTCTGGAAGAACCAGGACTCTACCCCCACCAGGTCATTTGCAATTGAATTTCCCATAAGCACCAAAAAAAGGTTATATAGTCTGGTTCACATAGATTTCTGGCTCATACACTGCATCCATCATGCAAATGCAGAAAATCTGGCAGCACTGCCCAGTGTGCAAATTGAGAATTCGCTATCTGGGTGACATGTCAGCCCTTTCAAAAGTCATCAGCATTCTATCTGGAGAGATGGGTAACTCTGAAATTCTTAAATGAATTATACACTACACTCTTGATGTGGCAATGTGTGGTTTTACACTAATTAAAAATAATTCAGTTGATCAAAAAAAATGAAATGTGTTTCTTGGGACTCTCTAATAAGATGCTACATTTTCTTGTTCTTGTTATTTGGGCCCATTGGAAGGAAGTTCTCAAGAACCTCCAATGGCATCTTAACAACTCTGGAAATTACCATTAACATGAACCTAGATGAGTCCATCTGACAGTTTCTTGTTCTTAACACCACTGCATAATTACACAATGCTTGTAAACACCCCTTTATATTGAAACCTATTGATTA